ATCACATCACATCACATACATCACATCACATCACATACATCACATCACATCACATACATCACATCACATCACATACATCACATCACATCACATACATCACATCACATCACATACATCACATCACATCACATACATCACATCACATCACATACATCACATACATCACATACATCACATACATTACATACATCACATACATTACATACATTACATTACATTACATACATTACATTACATTACATACATTACATTACATTACATACATTACATTACATTACATTACATTACATACATACATTACATTACATTACATTACATACATTACATTACATTACATTACATTACATTACATTACATTACATTACATACATACATTACATTACATTACATTACATTACATTACATTACATTACATTACATTACATTACATTACATTACATACATCCATCCATCCATCCATCCATCCATCCATACATACATACATACATACATTACATACATTACATACATAACATACATTACATACATAACATACATAACATACATAACATACATAACATACATAACATACATACATACATACATACATACATACATACATACATACATACATACATACATGCATCCATGCATACATACATACATACATATATATATTATACAGTTTCCTCAACGCAATGTAGCATTTGCCAAAAAATGGTGTGTGATTTGTTCACGCAAAAAAACATCAAACAAGCGTTTGCTGAGGCACCTGTGTCGAAACCATACAGCAAATGTTGGAGTCTTGCCATATCGTGGAAAGCTGTTCAACCACACAACAACATACAAAAATGCATGCCAGGATAATGATATCTAAGAAGTTGAAACCAGTGTACAATAGGGTTTCTGCCACAATTTGAAGGGCATATATTGTAGGCAATGTTTTGGTTTTGATGTGAACGGAACGGCACTTTGGCCGTTTTTGGCGTTTCTTCAAATCGATCTGTTTAACAAACACAAACCGGAATTGGACATGTCAATCAGCAATGATAATTTCAAAAAAATGTGGTACGAAAACTTGTGTTGACACGTTTTTGCCCTGAAATGCAACAATACAGAATGTTGTAAAAATGTCAGAATCAATCCAAAGCACCATGTCGAAAAATATCACCAGGGGTCTCTTTCACTTGTAGTTTGGGCAAAGGTCCTGTATGCATATATGCCCATCAAATCAAACAATGATACATTAGAGGTATAGTCGATATGGATCGATATGGTATAGTATTTAAAAAGAGTTCCACATGGAAATACGACAGCGATAAAAGTTATCAGTATCAGTGTTTTTTTGTCAGCAGGTAATGCAAAGCGCGGCAATAGCGAAATCCAAACAGTGTGGGAAATAAAGTAAATTCACATGATTCGGATTCCACATTCAATTGGAAACAAATTCCCTATGTAAAATTTGTGTTCGGCATGCCTGACCAACAAATTTCAATCACAACCAAGAATTTGTTTCCTTTTTCGTTCAGCTCCGCAGAAAAAGTGCAATGTGCAACAACTGATGGGATACAAAGGTTCTGCATAGAATCCGCACATCAGCAATTTCAACTGTTTCAAAATAGGGTTTTGATCAATGCTAAGAAAGCATCAAGCGGTTGGTGGAAAATTCGGGACGCATCTGGACACAGATCCCACGTGAAAAACAAATACGAATTTGCTGAGACAACCCTTTACCAAAGTCTCCAACGATGCCATGTGATGTGGACGGAATTGCTGGCCAAACAAGTGTCATTGAAAGAATTGCAGGCATACATCGTGCTACGTGTAGCCAAACTGATTCCTGATGACAAGAAACGAGTTATTGTGAAGTCTAAAGATGCTATGCAAAGTGGACTGACCACGACATCCACAAGTCGTCTGTTTGGCTATATTTCGAAAGGAAAGAACACGAATGCAAATGCTACCACACTGTTTCGCCAAATAAAGAGGAAAACAAACATGTTTTTTTCGTAAGTATGTAAACATGACATGTTCGAAGACGATGCGTGTTGGACAAGTCTTTCAACAACGACAAGGATGCAACATGGGGATGCAGCGCCATCATTTGATTTCAGAAGCCGGCCAAACGGACATTGCAGTTCACAGTACTGTTTCCTTTGCTTCAACTTTCACAAGACGGATTTAAAGCATATGACACAACTAAGCTGCGGCTGCAAGACTTCACTATTTTCATGAGCGCCACTCCATGCGCCAGTTTTATCACATCCGTTGCGGGCGCTGCAGGCAGGTGAATGCATCAAAAGGCAGGAGAATGCGCAGCCAGTCAAAAACGTGGCATGCTGCCATTCACAACGCCTGCCACCACACCCGCACCCCGCCGCTCAAGCAGGGATTGGGTGGGTGGGAGGACTTGAGAGGAGAAGTGCGGCCCATTCATGTCTCACATGAACCACGTTCAAAGAACACCTATCATGAGCGCCTCTCCATGCGCCAGTTTTATCACATCCGTTGCGGGCGCTGCAGGCAGGTGAATGCATCAAAAGGCAGGAGAATGCGCAGCCAGTCAAAAACGTGGCATGCTGCCATTCACAACGCCTGCCACCACACCCGCACCCCGCCGATGTTCCAACAGGCCAACATGGAAAACTGGCAAAATGCCGAAGAAACACTTAGAAGCCAAATCGCTGCCGTAAAAAAAATCATTAATACAACAAGAAGAATCAACAAGAGCATTGGCAGCAACATCACAAAACCGTTTAGGGTAAGGCTGAGCGAGATGGGTCCAGAGCTGTTTTGAAACACGATCTTGTCCTTTGAGAACAATATGAAATTGGTCAGTAGGACTACATTTACCCCCATGACCACTGCAGGTGAGAGAAAGGCTGTCATTCGGCTGTACGAACCATCCCTGCACACGTGTTCGCTTACGCCAACGGGCACCATGTTGACAAAAGTCAGTAACAAACCTACGAGAAGAATGATGCTGACAAAGATCTTGAAGCCTAGGCGTCAACCACATCATGGAGCCCGCTGGGTTTTCTAGAAAACAGGGGGTGTGAAAGCTAATGGCATGTTGGATGACCTTGGTAGTAGCATGCAAAGTGGCATTACCGACTTTGATTTTTTGACGATCCGTAGAAGACAAGCCAGGGATACCAAAAAGAAACTGATTGTTCCTAAGGGGGCCCCAAGAGGAATTGATCGGTCCATGCCGTGCTCTACTCCAGGAAGTATAAGGTGTGGCCAGCCAGATCCCCTTGACACAACCGCTTTTGATCCATCCCAAAACAACCGACAGAACTTGGGGGTCAGTGAGGTCAATTCGAGAATCATCATTAATGTCAAGGGCTATCACAGCATGACCTTTGCGTTTGAGACTTCGCTCAACACCGTGGTCACCGCAGAACAGGTCAAGGAAGACTCGCCGACACTGAAATCGTTTGCATGTGGTGCGAAACAAATATCTCAAAAGGTCGCGCCGAGAAAGGCTTTTGGGCCCAACATGTTTGTGACGGCTGTTCTTGACCAGTCTTTTGGTTATTTTGTCATTCCAAATGGGAGCTTTAGAATTTTGGGAAATTGGGTGAGAAGATTGGGCAGCTCTAACATCACCATCTTGCCGAACTGAATTACAGCGGGATGCATTTTGTGCAACTCGCTTTGGAGTCTTGCTGTCTTTACATATCGGCGCAGTGAACTGTCGGTAGCCCACCTGCCGCGCTGCTTGACTTCCTCCATGCTTCGTCGGCGACTCATGATGTCGAATGATGCCCCTCCGTGACGGAGGGTGTACATAGAGACTCCCAACGACTCCAGCTTCAGATACACTACTGCTTGGTTGAACACTTCTAGGATCTGATTGTGATTGTGAGACCAAAGTGGTGCATTCCTGGGCCGATTCTGAATGAGATTCCTTAGGATTGGATTGATCCACATGTCGCTGTCTATCAAGATTCCTTGGTCGAAGATGCCCGTCTTGCCTGGGACCTTTGCCTCTGAAGGATTCAACAGGACCGCAAAGAATTGAAGGCTCCCCAGGAAACTGCTCATGGGTGGGATGACTTGACCGACCAAGAGATTGCTCGTCTCCCCCGGCCTCATGTAAGTCAACCATTGAATGAACAAATGGATTGCCATTTCCCTTCGATTTGTTGCAATGCAAAACCCCAGTATGGCACCTAATCCCTCTATCGGCAGTGGCATCCGCTGCAATGGAGGGTCTGCATTCTTCCAACCCCGGAGGGCACGCAGGCACCGAGGCAAGCTTCCACTTGCACTCTTCCCCAAGTGTGGGTGAAAAAATCTGATGGCAGCATGGATCCTGATCCCTGAGTCCAGTTTGACCCCTGAGTCGAACAGGTCCTGAAGATACTCTACCAGAATGTTGTCTACCTGAGTCGGGTCGTTGAAATTGATCATCAAACTTCCTAACCAAACCATGAACTGGTTGAACCTTTTCTGATAGTCCCGTCTGGTTGGCTCGCGGACGCTTCTCGCCTCGAGGTATGTCATCCCCATGGGAATTTGCCCCTCTAACATGGCCTTGTCCTTTCTTTGCAGGTGACGAGTCACATGGCGATCCACCTTTTTCCGGAGCTTTTGATTGAAGACTTTGGGGGGCATGATCACGACTGGATCTTTCCCACCAGCCCTCAAATCCTTGGGCCTTCCAAAAATCAGTGGCACGTGATGGGACATCCGCAACGTTTCTTTCTGACGGCAACCACCTGACATGTACCTTTGTTTGGGTAGCTAATGAGAGCGCACAAATCTTCTGCAAAGGCTTTGTGAGTTGAGATGACTTGGCTCGCCCCTTAGTGACCCCAAGAGCAAGTGGCAAATTGTCAGTGAGACAAACCAACCTTCGCCCAAAGTTCCGCCCGCAGCGCAGCAAATGTTCCGCACTCCAGACTAGAGCTCTAGCTTCAGTGTTTAGGATGTTCGCCTCAAACTTCCAAGGACGGGACCATGCAACATGCCAATCATCTGACTTGAGAATCTCTTCGGGGATTTCATTGAATACGCCATCAATAACAAAATTAGACTCATCAAGATCATGATGACCACCTTGTTCAAGATGAATGCCAATGTCATTCCTTGGGATAACTGTACTGTTTGAGACCGCATTGAACTCAGAACTCGCAGGAGCCGGCAGCGGATCAGTGTTGCCCAACGCATGATGTCGCGCATTGATGGCATTAGGAAATCGAAATCTCCATTTCTCACTGCTCCTACCGATATCTTGCAAAATATCCGTATCCAATTTGCGATAACAAACACCAAGACCCCAAGGTGATGAATCAGATGCAGTTATATCTGTAGACCAGCCTGAATTGACTTTGAACCGCAGCAAGGGCAACACCGAAGCAACCCACTTAAGTTCTTGCCGGACACTCTTCCAAAGACGCTTGTGTTTGGTTGAACCATCATCAATGAAAGCATAGCATGCATTCAAAAGAGAAAGTCCAGTACGGCGGCACAACAATGCCCAAGTTAGGTGTCCAACTAGAAGCTGCATAGTACGGCCAGAGCAAAACTGTCTCTTCAATAACTCATCAATTGCAAACTTGATCTTGAGAATTCGCTGCTTCTTCACCGCAACAGTTCCTTGAGTTCCATCAAAGGAGAGACCAACAAAATCAGCTTGAAGGCTCGCCGGCTCAATTTCATGAACCGTCAGACCCCAGCCTCTCAGAACTAGGATGATCTTCTGCAACCCCTCATCAACAGCCTGGCGGTTGGCTCCAAAAACACCGAAGTTGTCCACATAAGCTGCAACTGCCAAATCATCGGTTTGTTTCAATACAACGGCCTCCCGTTTATCCCCAATAAACTGCTTGCGGCAAAACCCAGCTTTGAGAATACCATATTCCAACGCCGTTTGACAAAAATGAAGAGCCCAACTCCATCCCATGGGTAGCACTGTGATGTACGGCAAAAGGATGGTGCCAGCCTCAACTGCAGCGCCATTCACGCTGAAGATGCCCGCCTTCCCAGCCTCAATGGCCGGCATAGTGAACATCTCAGCTAAATCATTAGGGACAGCCAAGGTGTAGAAGGCATTTGCAAGGTCACCAGAGCCAATGTAGAATTGAGAACCTTCAACAAACTCGGTCCGTGTGAATGCATCTGCGGATGGCAAGTCAGTGGTTGGTGGAGCATGGAAACTCTCATTGAGTCTCCTAGTATCAAAAATTAAACGCAGCTGCCCTGACTTCTTCTTGACAAAGAAAACCCCAAGGTTACTCTGCTCCCCATTAGCTATCTTGAACTTGACCATGTTTCTTTTGCTAAGTTCCTTCAGGAAATCACCATAAATCACTGCATTGTTCTTGAGAATGGGATCAACATACGGCTTAACCGGCTTGTCAACTCTCCCACTGTCTGCAACATCACGAAGCATATGCTTGCGCCAAGCCCCCAGCCTTTCATTGTCGGCCGTTGGCATGCAGCTGCACAAGGACACAGGGCAGTTGCTCACCTCGGGCCAGGAGACATTCTCCTTGACGTAGGGCTGCACATCACTTCGACCAGTGTCATAGGTCTTGGATGAAGAACAGAGGCTACTCAAAGACCCAGCCATGTCATTCCGATCAATGTTCTCATAGGTCCCCTTGTAGCACTCTGTTATGTGGGAAATCACTCGGCGTTGCACACGAGTGGCCTTTTTTCAAATGAAAATCTGAATTATAACACCCAGCCAAATGGTTGAGAGTGGTAATACCCTGATTAGCAAAAACCCTCCAGTCATCACCACCGGTAGTCCCGCCTTCATCAGGGCCAAGCTCGGGCAGAGGGAAGATGTTACGCTGACGAAAATTCTCAGCAGCTCCCACTCCACGGATGAGCGACATGCACCAAACTATGAACAAAAACCCAGGACATCTGAAACCTGACAGCCATGAAGATGATCTCGAACTCACTTGTCCTTGTCCCCATCTTTTCCAGCTGACTTCCTGGCCAGGTTCCTCTCCTCCCGTGCTTTGCGACGTTCTTTCGCCACCAGTGCCTCCTTTTGGAGCTCCCCTCCAACCCACTCCGTGAGTTTTGGGGACACCACTGAACCAATCCGTGCTCCGCCCATTGCGCCCATGAACAGCGCACCTTCTCCAGAGTCGTCGGATGCCTGCAGTTTGAACTTGTGCTTCTCCTCGATCCTTTGAATGCCTCTTGCGATGAGTTCTGCACTGGCCAAATTTGAAATGTCCAGCTGGTCGTACGTCAGCATGGTGTGGAGGATCTTGCATAGACCCTCGTGCTCGACTGCCGGTCCATCTGAAGGCTGAAACTTGCACGCAACTCGCCATGCCTGGTGATGGGCTAGCGCCGATCCGGCATGATTCACCATTTCCAACACCACATGCTTTGCGGTCCGCGGACCTCCAATTGGCCAGTCTGTGAAATCGCACTGCTTGCATTCTTGGACCCCTGAACGGAAGTCTTTGAATCGATTGCCTTCCTCGTCTCTTGAAATCGCCAAGGTTCTGGCGTCGTCCACCTTGGAGTCGTCGACATCCACTCCGCCAGGCTGGTTCAGCGCAGCTACAAGTGCTGCATTTCCACCTGCCCCACCTCCTGCAATGTCCTGTCTGGCTCCACCTGCAGGAGGAAGATTGACATGCGGTCCGCCTCCCGCCACGGCTGCAGGAATTCCAGCATTCACTGGCGCCGGAAGCCCCAGACGTGCGCGTTCGGTTGACGCATGGCGATCCCCTTCCTGAAACAACTGAGCCTTGGCAGCCTCGTCGGGAAGGTTTCTGAAAGGATGGATGTCGTGGGCATTGATTCCATATGGCACTGGTCCCTGAGGGTCGAAACATCTCCACGCGGTGATGTCTGGTCCATTGAGGTCTTCCAGGTATAGATCTGCTTGGGGTGTCAAAATCACCCAAACCGATTCGTGAACATGAGATAGCAAAAGTCGAGTATGCCATTCTGTATCTGGAAAATCGTAATGAACCAGGATAAAATCACCCTGAGATAGGTTTCCAGGAGCTGGCCTGCCCAAGCCGCCGTGCATCTACACCCTTGCTACTTCCTTTTCCAATCCCAGTCTGATACCAAAACACCAGTCGAAACAAAATGATCAGAGCCAGAAAAAGGGTAAGAAAGATGGATCCAGCAAGAATCTCAAAGTTGATGCTACCGGTGGTACAAGTAACAGCAGGGCAGCTTACCTGGCCACAAGTCACCTCACAAGCCGGGCACTGAATGCCGCTGCGAGGCCAGGCTTCGAAAAGCAGAACCCCACAGGCAAAGGCAGCGCTATGGCTTACAACGGGAGAAATCCCAGACATTAGGACTTGAGAGGAGAAGTGCGGCCCATTCATGTCTCACATGAACCACGTTCAAAGAACACCTATGACGTGGTGCAAAGGGATCAGTTAGAGTGTAGAGATATGTAAGGTACCAGCGGGTCCAATTTAATGTACAGTCCAATACGGATCAGAAAGTTAGCCCCCCAAAGCCAACCTTGATATACAGACCCAAATAGCGGGGTTGCAAACAGGTTGATTTAAGGTTGGGAGTTATGAATACACCCTCACCACCTTCATACCCACAAAGCGGTGGAGACAAGGGGATGGTGAAGGGAAAGGAAAACACGAAGTGAAAACTTGAAGCAAAACGGCAACGGACCATTGAACTTCCGGGCCCTACCTGTAAACCATTATGCACACGTACAAAGCACGTTCACAGTACAGTTTCTTTTGTTTCAATTTTCACAAGACGGACTTAAAGCATATGTATGACACAACTAAACTGCGGCTGCAAGACTTCACTACTTTGACGTGGTGCAAACGGATCAGTTAGTGTAGAGATATGTAAGATACCAGCGGGTCCAATTTAATGTACAGCCCAATACGGTTCAGAAAGTTAGCCCCCCAAAGCCAACCCTGATATACAGACCCAAATAGCGGGGTTGCAAACAGGTTGATTTGAGGTGGGGAGTTATGAATAGACCAAAAATACATCGAAAATCGACCAGCCAGAGTGCATAACTCCCAAAAAAACAAAATCGATTGACGAAACCAGTCAGCGGACTGCAGCGACAGCCTTTTTGTGTGCCAATGCCGAAGTGTGCCGGCCACTTTCGGCCCTGCTGCGCAATAGAGACCGGAGAGGACTCGAGCAGCGCCCGCCAATTCATCTCACAGAAATCTTTCTGAGCAAGTGAGTCAGGAATGGGCTGTTTGAATCGACTCAACGAGTCTGCAATGACATTCAGATGTCCAGGGATGTGAGTCAAGTTGGGGTAGATCTGGAACCGTCACATAAAAGTGAAGAATGGAGACTACACCATCGCCATCGCTCGGTTCATCGAAAGGCCCTTTGCAGATGCTGCGTCAGCCGCACTATTGCCTGTGCCTTGATGACATGACACCGGTCCACGGCAACGTGGAAGGCACGAGACAATGCAGTAAGTGAGCGCATACTGTGCCAAGAGTTCCCAAGCTTCAGTGTGTTTCTGCATATCGTCTTCCACCCAGTTCCACAACGCGCACGCTTGATCCAGCGTGATTTGAAACTGAAACCATACAGCTCTTCCATTGGGAAAGAATGCTGCACCATCCAAACCTGCCACGGTTTGTAACGCCATCGCATCGGCTGTGGCTGTAACTTCCACTTGCACGGGTGGGGCCATAGAGAGAAAGGAGTAGATACCAACAACCTCGACCACACCTGAAGGGCTGCTTGGGCCTCGGAGCCCAACACTCTGTGAGGTGAGGTAGGGTCCGTGATGGCCACCCACACACGTCTGGATTTAAGATGCAACTTGTGGACCTATTCCAACGTGCGAACATTGGAATTGGCAACCCTCACGAGTGTCACATGTTGACAGAGCGACTGATGTTTGCGTGTCAAGTCCTCAGAGAGTGTAAGTTGCGGTGAAAGCCCAGAAATGAAAGTTGAAAGATCGCATGTTTTTTTGGTCCGAGCCCGTTGCCTTTCGGCGGGTCTACGGTCTTGAGTCTTACTCGCGGACCAGCGGGGAATCGAACCACCACCGGCAGTCTGTCAGCGACACAAGAATGCCGCGATACCAACTGAGCCACGAGGACGACTGAAACTTAAAAAATCGCATGGTCCATGCCCACCATCGTAGTGGGAACGTGATGCAACGCCCGATACAATGGGATCAGAACTCGTCTCAAATAATGCCATGCAGAGGTGAGCCAAACAACGGCCAATCAGCGACTGTAGGTCCTTGGCAGAAACCTTCGTATCCTGCAAGATAGAACGTGCTTGTCGCAGGATCTTGTAAAGCTTTTCAGGTGGAATGATATCGACCACGTGGACACCGAAATTCGCCACCCAATCCAATTAACTTCCATAGCCAGCGCTGCTTCATGCTATGACACGGGAATGCCCTGAATGAGGAAAAGTAGCACAAGCAGAGTGCCCAAAGTTGGGCGGATACACGGTCCAGCCAAGCCAATAGATCATCAACGTACTGCCATAGCACATGGCCATATGCAAGTAGTGTATGGCTCGTTTGAACTATGAGTCCCGCAACTCTGCCCCAATAACCACTAGCGCGAGCACCAAAGTTCAGTGTAATGCAGCGATACAGCTCACCATTGTCATGATGAAAGCACAACATGCCCCCATCTTTGGGATCAATCAGAATGCGTCGATGCGCCTTGGAAACGTCGAAGGTCAACTGGATCATTTGCTGTTGTGCCATCGTCATCGGCGCACATTGGAGGACGCCCGAAATGCGAGGTAACATCATATCATTGGGAATGATGGTATTGGCAGTGACATTGCTAACCAATCTCAACCAGTCTTGGGGAGCGCCCGTCTGTATGCAATGACCATACCCAGTTTGCCAACAGCGGACGGCTGTATCGACGTTTCAGTTCCTTGATTCCACCAGGGACATGAGCGATGAAACCGGCTTGAAGTTCTTCTTGGATAAGGTCAGCCAACAATTGAAGGGTGGTCAAGGCAGGATGTCCAACAAATCATCCACATAAGGTTGCAGTTCCTTCTATGATAGTGGTGGCTCCAGCAACCTGATCTTGAGCCAGTCCTTTGTGTTACTCAATCGCCTGAACCTTTTTTTTCCCGCCAGTCGCCTCTTAGCTTTCGCCAGTCGATCCACACGCTCTATTGGCATCATTGCACCAATTGTGATGATGGACCGCAAGAGTAGTGCTGATAGGGAACAGTACATAGTCCTATAGGCCGTCGTCCTGCAATGGAACAGAAAGATACCAAACAAGAAATAAAAAACACCAAACAAAAACCAAAATCACCTGAACCACCGTAACCTCAACGCAACCAACACGTCCCTTGGTACATCGAGTCAGGTGGAATGCAGTGCTGGGCAAACCGCCGCCATCTTTAACTCGTACCACATTAGGAGGTTTATTTGTTGTTCAAGGAAAACGGCTGATGCGTCATACACGCGTACACTAGTATGCACTTACCATGTATCGTAACACTCTACTGTTTGTATGTGACCATATCACATATGTTAAAACTTCCGGTGTAACATGTTACACGTTGTTCTCGCAAAATGGATTCACTCTCGTGAGTGGCCACTTCCGTTTTCAAACAATTTTCAAAATTCTTTTCTTTTTTTAAATTGTTCGCCAAAACAAACAAATTCGAAAACGCCAAGTGAATGCTGACACAATGGAATGCTGGATCGGCGCACATCCTTTTTTCAAAGCGCATCGGGGAAAGTTCATGGGATCCCGTCTTTGAAAAACGGCGGGGTTAGGCTCTAAGCATGTTAATCTCGCGAAGCGTCTGAAACATGCCAAGAACCTATTTTGAAAGAAATTGACCTCCAACTCTTGCAAAGCATCTGTTGGAGAAGATAAGGGAGGGAGAGAAAGACATTTCTGGGCGGGTAAATCTCACAATCTACGCGCAAGACAGGAACCCTCACCACCCACCCTTCTTTGAGACGAGCGCGGTAAATGAAATGAAATGAGTTTGTCAGATTTGTTGTTTTGAAACTGTTTTCCAAAACAAACAAAACAAACGAAAGTGAACCTGTGCACCTTGCCTTGCAGTCACTGTTCACCTCTTGTATTTGTTAAACTTCATAAAAGAAAAACAGGAGTGTTAACATGGTTGGACAGGTTTACATTTGTGTACACAGGAACGGTGTTTACATCAGCCTAATTTTTGTCAACACAAAAATTTTTCCTTTTCTCTTCAAATAAAGGGATCATCATTGCTTTGCAATGAGTGGGCCCTTATTTGTTGTTCAAGGAAAACGGCTGATGCGTCATACACGCGTACACTAGTATGCACTTACCATGTATCGTAACACTCTACTGTTTGTATGTGACCATATCACATATGTTAAAACTTCCGGTGTAACATGTTACACGTTGTTCTCGCAAAATGGATTCACTCTCGTGAGTGGCCACTTCCGTTTTCAAACAATTTTCAAAATTCTTTTCTTTTTTTAAATTGTTCGCCAAAACAAACAAATTCGAAAACGCCAAGTGAATGCTGACACAATGGAATGCTGGATCGGCGCACATCCTTTTTTCAAAGCGCATCGGGGAAAGTTCATGGGATCCCGTCTTTGAAACCCCAATCTTCCGTTCCCATGCTTTCCAGCTTTGACCAAAGGAATTGCCAGTCCACTGGGTCCCTGAAGACGCCTATAGCGTCCAGCTCATCCGTGTCTAGCCTGCTTGGTTTATCAGCTATGTTGCTTGCCGTTGGCACTCTGCTGAACCAAACTTTCACCTGTAACTGCATCTCTCTGATTACGAACTCCTGGATGAGCTGTTTCCCACAAGGCGTACTGGTGGCACCATTAATGAGTGCTCCTTTGGCTGCCTCATTGTCTATGTAGAAAATGCACTGGCTATTTTGTACCAACCTCTCCCAAGTGCAAAGGGCCACTCAGACTGGTAGCAGCTCGAGTTCGAAAATCGGGTGCTTTGCTGTAGTCAAAAGCCATTCCATCCACTGTTGTGGAACTCTTTCAGAAAAATACCTGCACACAACTCCTTCCGGAGATACCAAAACTGCTCCGACTGTGCC